GGGGCCAGCTCCTCCCCGCCACCATGGCCCCCCTGGGCCCACCTTCTTCCGCCAGCAGGATGGCCTTCTCCGGGGTGGCTATGAGGCACAGGAGCCGCTGTGCCCAGCTGTGCCCCCTAGGAAGACTGTCCCTGGCACCAGCTTCACCTACATCAACGAGGACTTCCGGACAGAGTCACCCTCCAGCCCGAGCAGTGACATTGAGGATGCCCGAGAACAGCGGGCACGCAATGCCCATCTCCGCGGCCCCCCACCCAAGCTCATCCCTGTCTCTGGAAAGCTGGAGAAGGTAAGGACCCAGCCCTTCCTTTGGGGCCTGGGTGGAATCAGGAGTCCCCTGAAGAAGCTGGAATTTGGGGGCCGATTTAGAGGAGAGAATGTGGGCTGCAGATTCACCAGACCTGGGTTCTAATCCCGGCTCTGCCTCGTTCTAGCTGCACGACCTCAGGGAAGTCACTTAACCTTTCTGAGCCAGAGGTTCTGTATCTGTAATGTGGAGGCACCAGGTCAGCTCTCCTGTGATGGTCGGGAGCATCCCATCACATGGCGTATGTCAGTGTTTAGCTTAGTGCCTGTCACACAACATGTGCTCAGTAAAGGTGAGCTGCTCAGACTCCTGTAACTGTGCAACAGCTACGCATCTGACTCTGAACGAGGCCTTCAACTTTGCTGAGCCTCCATTTGCTCATCTGTAAAACGGGCATAGTGATAATATTTTGCTCGTGTGGCTTGTAATGTCTAGCGATGAACTTTTTAAGTGGCTTGCCATAAAGGATATCAAGAGGCCCTCGGCGGTGGTAGCAATTAGTATTAATGTGTGGGGATTGGGGGCCCCAGATGGGAGGGCAGGGAGTATGCTAAGGGCTTTGAGAGATTGGGCAGCTCATCCCCAGTGTTACGTGGCACCTCATTTCAGAACATGGAGAAAATCCTGATCCGCCCAACAGCCTTCAAGCCGGTGCTGCCCAAACCTCGAGGGGCACCATCCCTACCTAGCTTCCTGGGTCCTCGGGCCGCCGGACTGTCTGGGAGCCAGGGCAGCCTAACACAGCTGTTCGGGGGCCCCGCCTCGTCTTCCTCCTCTTCCTCCTCCTCAGCTGCTGACAGACCCCTGGCACTGAGTGGCTGGGCCAGCGGCTGCCCATCGGGGACACTGTCTGACTCCGGCCGAAACTCGCTGTCCAGCCTGCCCACCTACAGCACCGGGGGTGCAGAGCCAGCCAGCCACTCCCCAGGCGGGCACCTGCCCTCCCACGGCCCTGCGCGGGGGGCACTGCCCGGGCCGGCCCGAGGGGCCCCTACTGGGCCCTCCCACTCGGACAGTGGCCGATCGTCCTCTAGCAAGAGCACGGGCTCCCTGGGAGGCCGTGTGGCTGGGGGGCTCTTGGGCGGTGGTGTCCGGGCCTCGCCTGACAGCAGCTCCTGTGGGGAGCGCTCCCCACCCCCGCCCCCACCCCCTCCACCCCCTTCGGATGAGGCCCTGCTGCACTGTGTCCTGGAAGGAAAGCTCCACGACCGTGAGGCAGAGCTGCAGCAGCTGCGGGACAGTCTGGACGAGAGTGAGGTGACCGTGTGCCAGGTGTGGTCAGCAGTGATGATGGGGGTGGTGCGGCAGGACAGCCGCAGGAGCCGGGAGTCCAGGGAGCACTCCCGTGTGTGCCCGGGGGCGGGGGAGGGGCGGGGTGCGGCGGTTGAGGCCCAGCTGTCAGGCTTCACCTGCGGAATGGTGAGGGGTCCCGGCCAGCACCGCCTTTGGCTGTCTTCAGACTTGAGCGAGACACTTCACGGGGCTGAGCCTCGCTCTCCTCAGCTAGAGATGGGCACATTTCTGGCCTCCTAGGGTTCTGATGAGGATTAAGTAAGGCAGAGGCTGTGGAGCGCTTAGAATGACGCCTGGCACCTAGGAATTCCTGCAGAAGCGTTTGCTATCGTGGACATTGTTCCTAGAACCCTAGAAGTGGTCGTGACTAGAGTTACCGTAATTATCCTTGAGTGGTTGGCTGGAGTCTCCAGTCCCCGAGCGCAGCCATAAAGCAGTCCGTGACCTGGGAGCGGTGGGCGGGGGGGACCCAGGTCTGCCTTCTGTCCCCAGGCGTATGAGGAGCGGCAGCGGCCCTGGCCACGGGAGCGCGAGGCGCCGCGGGACGACAGTGCCGCCCAGGCCCAGCGGGCACAGCGGGCCCAACAGCTGCTCCAGCTGCAGGTGTTCCAGCTGCAGCACGAGAAGCGGCAGCTGCAGGACGACTTCGCGCAGCTGCTGCAGGAGCGGGAGCAGCTGGAACGGCGCTGTGCCACCTTCGAGCGGGAGCAGCGGGAGCTCGGGCCGCGGCTCGAGGAGACCAAGTGGGAGGTGCGCCAGGCCGGGAGGGGCAGGGAGCGGGGCCTACTGGGACGAGCCCTGGGCCCAGGGGTCCAGCCATTAACACCCCCCGCCCAGGTCCCCCAACCGTTTTAGGTCTCCTCATTGCTCAGGTCGAGTGCTCACGTAGCCAGTGGCCTTCCCATCCTCTGCCTCCCCACCAATAAGAATGTAGAGCCTGGTATGCGCCCAGAACTTTCTAGCTGTTACATAGAGTGGATCTTCCGATCCTCAGAACAGCCCTGCGAGGCGGCTATTGTTAACATCCCCATTTTTGAGATGAGAAAGGCTGGAACCAAGAATTACAGCTAATCAGTGGCAGAGCTGAGATTTGAACCCAGGCCTGTGGTTCCATCGTCTGTGCTTTTCACCAAAACGCTGTGGCGCGCCTCATTGGAAATGTGGGCACTGCCTTCAGTGGCTCCCAGTACTGCAAAACCTGCCACCAGCCAGTCCCGGGCCTTTGTGATGGTTCAAAGTCACCTGCTTTGAAGGAAAAAGATCTGGGTCTGTATTTTACTTTGGCCACTTACTAGCTGTATATATGGCCTTGGACGTGTCACCAGGCTCGCCTCAGTGTCTCCATCCGTGTCGTGCGTGTCATGATCAAACAAGCTCTCCCCAAACACCCCGCGTGATCTCAGGGCCTGACCCTCTGGGAGAAGCCTTCTCACCGCCCTCCCCGGCCCCTCCCACCCCTAGGTGTGCCAGAAGTCAGGGGAGATCTCCCTGCTGAAGCAGCAGCTGAAGGAGTCCCAGGCAGAGCTGGTGCAGAAGGGCAGTGAGCTGGTGGCCCTGCGGGTGGCGCTGCGAGAAGCCCGAGCCGCGCTCCGGGTCAGCGAGGGCCGGGCGCGGGGCCTGCAGGAGGCGGCCCGGGCCCGGGAGCTGGAGCTGGAGGCCTGTTCCCAGGAGCTGCAGCGGCACCGCCAGGAGGCCGAGCGGCTCCGAGAGAAAGCTGGCCAGTTGGACAGCGAGGCGGCTGGACTCCGGGAAGCCCCCGGGCCACCTGCCACCGCCGACCCATTCCTCCTGGCAGAGAGCGATGAGGCCAAGGTGCAGCGGGCGGCCGCCGGGGTCGGGGGCAGCCTGCGCGCCCAGGTGGAGCGGCTGCGGGCAGAGCTGCAGCGGGAGCGGCGGCGGGGTGAGGAGCAGCAGGACAGCTTCGAGGGGGAGCGGCTGGCCTGGCAGGCGGAGAAGGAGCAGGTGATCCGCTACCAGAAGCAGCTGCAGCACAACTACATCCAGATGTACCGGCGCAACCGGCAGCTGGAGCAGGAGCTGCGGCAGCTCAGCCTGGAGTTGGAGGCCCGGGAGCTCGCCGAGCTGGGCCTGGCCGAGCCGGCCCCCTGCATCTGCCTGGAGGAGATCACCGCCACTGAAATCTAGGGCCCTTGGCATCCCAGATCTGCAGGGAGCTCTGCTGAAGGGGGGGGGGCGGGAGCCTCAGGTCCACGGAGGTCCCCAAAGTCTGAGGGCCCCAGAACCACTCGTCTCCCGGGATCCAGGCCTCTGGGCCTCTGCCAAGACCTTGGGGCGGCCCTGTGACTCGGATGAGCAAGATCAGACTCCTTGAAGGTCCCCGTTTCACGGTCATGCAGAGGCTCCTGCTCACTTGACCCATTTCACCCCCCTTCTGCTGCCATTGTCACTCTGCCAACCACATTCATCCCAGACGCCAGGGGGCTGGGAGGAGGAGGAGAGGGCTCCGTCGTTTCCACACTCTCCCCTACCCCAAAGCCAGAGAGAGCCAGACAGCGCCAGCTGCCCCAGATGTGCCTGCCCCCACCCTGCCCGTGTCGGGGGCCAGGGCTGGGACTGGGGTCTGACCCCCAGGCTCCAGCCTGCAGCCTCTCTCCTGGGGCAAGGGGGCTATAGTCAGACCAAAGGAAGAACTCGGCATTGTCTTGTTTATTTGTGTTTGTGACCAAGTGGCCCCTTCCCACACCCAGGTTAATGGCCTCGTTTTCACTTGTATATTTTTCCACACTGTAAATTTCTTGTACAAACCCAAAGAAAAAAATTAAAAAATCTTTTGTTTTTAAAAAAAAAAGATGAGTGTGCTAGGTAGAGATTATGGGAACTTCTTTGACCCCTACCCCCAGGCCCCCTCAATTTGCTGGCTAATCCTCTACCCCTGGTAGGGACCTTGGGGAGAGAAAGAGTGATGGGGGAAGGACAAATCCAGTAGAAAGTGTGAGGTCCTAGTGGACCACGACATCCTGTCCCTTGCACAGAACACTGCCTGGGGCTGGGGGATGGGTGCAGTGACGTTCAGGGCCCTATTGAGAGCCCATGTCCCTCAGTGCTTGGGGCATTAAAGGGGACATCATGAGAAAGTGCCCACCAATCCCAAACTCCAGACCCTGGCTTTCTCCCAACCTCTCCCTGCCCTGGGAGGTTGGGGGCAGTGAGTGGGTGACACAGGCTACCCAGGAGCACCTTGTCCTTGACACCAAGTTTATCTGGAAAGGGCAGAGCCTTAGTGATAGCTGGAGAGGGAAGAAAGTGGTGAGCTTTGGGAGGAGGCAAGTCAAGCAAGAGGGGGAGGTTCCTAAGTCCTGAGGAGGTTAGTAGCTGAGGTGTGGGACATAGCAGGAGAGTCCTGGGAGTCAGTGGGAGGATCCGAAGTCAGTGGGAAGAGTCATAGCATAGGTGGGGAGAGTCTGGGGTTAGTATCAGGAGTCTGGAGGGCTAGAGAAGGGACTGGGCTGTCGGTCTGATGGAGGAGCCTGGCGTCGGTGGGAGGAATCTGGATATTGGTGGGCAGAGCATTAATGGGAGGTTCTGGGAGGCAGTGGGAGGGAAGGAGTACCATCAAGGGGTCGGCGGGCGGAGGAGTGGTCAGCAGGAAGGCGCTGATTGGTGAGGGCTGACAAGTCAGGGGGTAAGGGTAGTGGACTGGTCCCGGGGACCCTGACCACAAGCTCCATGGGCTCCCGAGCCTTGTTTCGATAAGCTCGGCGGATGGTATCTACTGCTCGCTGGTGGGTCACCTGCTCCAGGCTCTCTCCATCCACTGCCACAAGCTCGAAGCCAGCCTGGGATGGGGGTGGGAAAATCACAGCCCTCCCTTCCAGGTCCTCCCACCACCCAACCTCTCACCTCCACCACCTAGGACACTCCTCCTCATCTGGGTGGAGGGGATGGACAATGGGACTTTTGTGCCTGGAGCTGTGGGGGGTAGGGTGAGGCACAGACAATGGCCCTTTGTCCCTTGGGGCTAGGGGGTGGAACATGATGGGCCACCCTCAGGCCCAGGCTGCATGAGGGGACAAATTTCTCCCTAGCCTTGTTCATCTTGCAGGCCTGACCCCCCAGCACCCAAGCCTCCTCCCAGGACCTGGTCTAAACCTGTCTGGCTGGAAGATGAGCATGTTCCGGCCCCACCCCCACCAGAATTCAGCTCTGGACCTCGGGAGTGGGCTTGGGTACTCTTCACCCACCTGCAGGGCCCCACTGAGGAAGGCAGCCCCCCCAGGAAAGATCTTTTCTATCTTCACCATGGGCTGCACCTTGGACTCAATGCCCCCAGAAATGCTGATGCCTAGTGAGAGAAAAGCACTGGATGAGCATGCAGCCACACCCCTCAACCCAGAGCTCCCAGAAGAAACCCAGCACCCCGACACCAAGTCCAGGCCCCGACTTCTCCCAAATCCCCAGATTCTGTTCCTACTCGGTCCTTGACTCCAAAAATCCTCTAGTTCCCACCCCCTCCAATCTAGAACCTCCCAAATAGACCCCCATATCCAAATCTTTTCCTAAGCCCAAGCCCCCTAGTTGTACCCCAAAACCAAGCCCAGAAACCTCACCCACACCCAAGAGCCCCACCTGCCAGGCCTAGTCCCACCTGCACTCACCCAAGGACTGCTTCATCTTGGACAGCGTGACTGTCCTCAGCTCCCCGCCAGGGGCCTTCTTGGCTGCCTCCCTGGCTGTCCCGCCAGTTCCATTCTCGGAGGGGCCTTGACGGCCCCCCACCTTGGCTGCCTGCTCATCCACAGGTCGTGGCAGAGGGGGCCTGGCCTTCCGAGGCTTGTGGTAGCGCCCGTTGGCCATGCTGGGGGTGGGGACAGGCACTGGGGATGGGGAGCGTCTGCGTCCGGGGGACTTGCCTCGACCCCGGCCGCAGCTGTGGCTCTGGGCAGGGCCCTGGCTCTGGCTCTGGCTCTGGCTCTGACCCTGCCGAGGGTCCTCTGGGGTCAAGGGTTCTGTCAGCAGCCAGTTAGGCCTTGGGGGCCGGGGAGTGACAGGGGGTGGCTGGGGAGGGGGTGTGCAGGAGCTTCGGTGTGGGGCAAAGGCGTCTACTGGCACGTCTTGGAGAGGGGGGATCCCTTTATGAGGGTGGCGGGGAGCAGAGGCACCCAGGGAGAGCTGGAGGCCCCCCAGCCTCTCCCTCAGCTCCCCATCGTCTTCCTCCTCTGAGAAGCCATTCACAGGCAGCAGGTAGAAACCTCCACGTCTGTCTGGGGAAGGGGGCCAAGGTCAGGCTGCCCCTCCTCACCAGTCGTTGCCTTTGTCGGTGCAGGGCCCATGAGACCCAAGCTTGGGTTTGCTCAGGCCCTCTGGCGGTTGTGCCCGCCGTGAGGGACTCTGCCTGGGTTCCAAGGTGATACGGAACTTTAAAGTTTTCTATGGCAATATGTGTCTTAGAAAAAATATGACTCGCACACCAAACTGGTAATTTCTCAGAGATTATTGCATAGAATGAGAGTAGATTTAAAAAGTGAGTGGGTTTAAAAACCAATTATTAAGTCAATAATACTACAAGTGGTGAGTGGATGTGATAAACGTGGCTCCGGTGGACAAGGATTTCCTTCAGGGAACCAGCCGGCCTTCTGAAGCCATGACACCCTATGTGGGGGGCAGGGACGGAGGGCCCGTTCTCCCTTCCCCAGTGTGCCCCCTCCCCCGGCTCCGGGACTCTGACTGACCAGGCACAGGCGTGACGAGGTGACGCTTGGGTGGTGTATCCTGCCGGGCTGGTCGCAAGGCAGGAGGCCGTACTACTGGGAGAGGAGATCCCGTCAGAGGCGGGGCCCCTGCCGGGCTCCCTGATGGACCCAGCTGAAGGCCATCTCTGCCCCCTCTCCCCCGGGAGGCCCCATTCCCATCCCCACCTGGGGCCCAGGATCTACACAGTCCTACCCCCAGCTGCTGACCTGCCCGGCTCTTAAGGGCCTCAAAAGCCTCCAGCTCCACGGGCATCACCATGCTGTCGAAGCGGCCGAGGTCGGTGGGGGCCACCACGCTCCTGGGGGAGGGCGAGAGATAGGGGGTGGGCAGGGGAACAGTTCTGGGGGTGACAGTGGGGGGAGTTCTCAGAGGTCCCCTTTCTGCCCCCCAAGCCCTCCCCACAGCCCCCACCCCACCTGATGTCCCTCAGTAGCAGCAGCTTCGCGGGCCTGTCCAGAATGGCCAGCAGGGGCCTGACGAGGTCCTCCACGCCGCCCTCGTGCACGTACTGCGGAGAGAGGCGCCACGGGTCACACAGCGGCGAGGACATCCAGAGCTGGGGGCGGGGGGCTGCTTGGGCATGTGTGGTTGCCCGCAAACACCACGTTTAGGAAAGCTTCTCCGCACCCCCAGGCTGTCCCCGGGATGGGTGGAAGTTATTGACTAGGGGGAAGCCTGCAGTTTTCCTAACAGACCTGTAACAGCCCCGTAGCAGCGTCTGTAAGCCTTTTACAGATGGTCTCTCGTTTAGCAACCCTGAGCGATGACGTGCATTATTCTCGTTTTACAAATGAGGAAACTGAGGCTCAGAGAGAAGGACTTTGGCCAAGGCCACACAGATAAGGAAGTGTGAAGAGGGATTGGAACCTGAGAAGTCTGGCTCTTGCATGCTCTGGTGCCGGAAAAGGGTGTGCAGGGAGCCGACTTTCCTCCCCGCCCCCACCTCCCAGGCAGAAGGAAGGAATTGGAGCCAAATGCTAGGCTGTGGGCCTGGCGGGCCCAGCATATGTCTGCACAGAGACCTACCCCAATTAGGCTTTGTTCAGCGCTGGAATGGGGGACCTTGGGGAAGGGGTGGCTCGACAGAAACCTCTCCAGTCAGTCCCCAGGGGCGTGGAGGCCCTTCTGCCTGGCACTGCCCAGATGCCACCAGCCACACCCCACCCACGCCGACAAACTGGTAAACTGAACACTGGGAGCCACCCTATTTGGATAGCACACCGCCCCCTGGTGGTGAAATGGAGATGCATACAATCACATGGTGATTCAGGGATACACACACACACACACACACACACCCCATCCTGGACAGGAATAGACACAGAGACACAGCAAGCTCTGGTGGCCAGAGTGAGACATTCGTAAATATCGGGAAATAAAATATAAACTATGTGGCCCTAAACCACACACAGTTACAGGGACTCACACACACACGTGTCCAAAATACACCCCCTTTTGTCTGGAGCGAGAGATCTATAATTGCACAGAATCAGTCGCATATGTACACATTTCAAGGCTGCAAACCCTCATTGTAGCACCTACTAAGTGCCACGCCCTGTACTGGGCAGTGGGGGCACAATGAAGAAGACCCTGTTCCAGATCCTTCAGAAGTCAGTCTAGTGGGAAACGAGGGGCAGAGAGAGCCACGTGCCCCAGGAAATGACAAACCGCCGGCAGCGGGGCAGAGGGAGTCTCAGAGGAGCGCGTGAAGACCGGATTCGGCTTCTTGGAGGCGGCAACATTTACACTGACCCCTCTTGGTTTGTGTGTTTCATTTACATTTACTCTTAGGCATAAATGCAGTCAACAGCATGAATATTGGGAGGAAAGTGCTCCAGGGGTGGGGTGGGATAGTGGGTAGACAGAAGTTCAGCTTGACCGTGGGGTACAAGAAGGGCCTCCATGTAGGCTGCATAGGTGGGGACTCCAGGGTGAGTGGTGCCCCAGAGTTGTGCGGTTCATCGCCTGTATAACCCTGGGCAGTGACCAGCAGAAGATGACCATGTGGTGATGTGGTGACTACGGGAGAGCTGAGGTTAGTGGCTGGGGGTGTCGAAGCAGGGAAGGCCTTGAATGTGAGCATAAGGAACTTGTACTCTGTTCCGTCAAAGGTAAGAGATTGCACGAGGGCTTGGGGAGTGTAAAGTGATCCAAGGGGGGCTTTCTAAAGCCTGGTCTGGTGGCGGTGGAGAGATGGCTCAGAGGAGAGGGAAGGGAGGCCTGGGATTTGAGGCCACACATCTGAGTCACTAGGGGAGATTTACCAATCATCCCGGCCAGAGCTCCACCACAGAGGGTGTGATCTCTTGGTGCGGGTGAGGTGGGGGTCAGGATTGGGTGGTATGCAGGTTTTGTGGGGGTGCCGTCCCAGGTGGTCCCGGCTTGGACAGGGTGGGAGGAACAGAGGGCTGATGGAAAAGGAGCTGACCCAAGAAACGGGCACAGCGCGCCACCTAATGGCCAGAGCCTAGAGTTGCAAGCTCACGGGGACCCCACTTAGCGCTCAGAGTTGAGCATGATGACACAGAGGTTAGCCCAAAGGCCCTTAGCTGCCCCCCAACATGCACCCCATCTGCAGCTCTGCTGTCAACCAGGCCTTGGTAAAGGGATGCATGAATCACTGTGCCTCAGTCTCCAGGTGATACCCACATGCCTTATGGAGACACACACACACAGGTCGATCACACAGATGACACAAACCTATGCACCCCACAGACACACAAATGTACACATCACACAGACAAACAACACAGCCCCACCCTGACCAGGCTGAGGGCATGGGGGGATCACAAACGACTTCCTGGAGCCCCTGAGCTTGTCCTTGCACACCAGCTCACATGTGCACTGGTGCCAGCACCCCACAGGGACCCCAGCACAGGAACCCCAGGGGCTCTGAGGCGGGAGGAGAGCAGAGGGCCTTCCGACCCCCCTGGAGGATCAGACCCCAGACCTGTGCCTCCCACAACCTCCCCAACATCCAGGCCACAAGGACTCCCTCACATCTAACTTGTGCCCCACCCTGGGGCCCTACTTCCTATTTGAAGTAGAAGGAAACAGAACAACAGTGCAGACATTGGGGGAGGCTTGGGGTGTGTGGGGGGTGACAAAGGATTACTTACTTAGGTAACAGGGGAAGGGGCCTGGCATGAGGCCGGGCCTGGGGGCTGACTCAGGGGGTCAGGGGAGAAGGCTGGGGTTTAGAGGAGAGCTCAGGCAGTGACCGCAGAGACTCATGTGCCCCTACTCATCACCTGTCTGGCTCCTTCTCTCCTTAGCTGAAACATCACCTCCTTAAGGAGGCCCTCCTAGACCACACCACCTAATTTGTACCTCTTGGGTTATTTTCTCCTATTCTTTTCTTTCACAGCATTTCACACAATTTGCCGCTATGGGTGTTTAGGTTCTAGTTATTGTATGTCCCTCTCCTGTCTGTGAGCTCAGTGTGTGTGTGTGTGTGTGTGTGCGCACGTGACAGGAACAGGAGTGACTTCCGCTTTTCCCAACCTCTGGCCTCAGGGCCTCAAGCCCAGATACTGACCAGAGACAGTGGCCTGAATGAATGAGGGGCTGGGTGACTGGGTGACAATGTCCTGGAGTTGGGGCAGGCTGGAAGCTCACCCGGGAGCAGTGACGGGTGACTGCCAGCACCTCGTCGTCAGTCAGCAGCCGTCGGGCCAAGTCCTGAATAAGGGGCCGTTGGCTCTCCCAGGCTTGCACCTGCTCATCCATGTTGGGCAGCTGGCTGGAGGGGCTCCTGGACCTAGCAGAGAGCAGGGTCGGGCCCCTCTCCCGCTCTGCAGGGAAGGAGCAAAGGCATATGATGAAGGAGCCAGGAGCCATCAGGGGAGGAGGCAGGGGCTTCTCTCAATGGGGTCAGACCCCAGAACAGGTCAGCTGAGAGGCCTAGGTGCCACTGACAGAATCCCAGCCTAGCCCAGAATCTCCCCACCAACGTCTCCCCATAGCAATCTGCCCAACAAGGGAGCTCCAATCCAGACCCTTTGGCCCCCAACACAGACCCCCTATACTGGGCTGTTCCTTAATGGTGTCCTAGCCCAGGGCCCCCTGGGACCCCCAAACATTCACTGTCATAGTACTCAATGGGGTCCTGGCACAGGCTCCCTCACCTCCCCAAAATCTGTCTTTGGGAGCCCCATTGAGTACCCAGTCCTCAAAAATGCACCCCAGTATCTGTCTGCAGCCCTGTCTCTCCTGGTAAGCTTAGTCCAATTCTTTTCGCTGCCTTCAATTTGCACCCAATCCCCCATGCATGACCCCAACTGAGTTTAGCCCAAAGACCCTTAGCTGCCCCTCAACATGCACCCCATCTGCAGCTCTGCTGTCAACCAGGCCTTGCTAAAGAGATGCATGAATTACCGCGTCTCAGTCTCCAGGTGACAAACTTCTGCACAGGCCCCACTGCCCCTGCTATGAAGAAGAAAGGCTCAGCTGCAGGCCCTGGCTCCCAGTCTGAACATGGGGCTTGGGAGGGCTCAGAGATGGCTGGATCACTAGCTGGAATGAAGAGTTTAGGCTGGAAGGAGGTGGAATGGAGAGGCAAGAGGCCAGGCCACGAAGGTCTTGTAAGGCCATGCCCAACTAGGGACTTCGTTCATAGGCAGTGGGGAGCCAGTGAAGGTTTTGGATCAAGAGAGGGTGCAGTGTGAGTTCTGCTTGTGGAGATTCATTTAGAAGCAAATATATGGAGGGAGGAACCCCAAGAACAAAGCTTGGGGGAACACCTACCTTCAGGGGACAGAGAAAAAAAGAGGAGCCTTTGGAGGAGACAGAGGAGTGGCCAGGGGAATAGAACAAGCATCAGGTGAGAGCAGGGCCCTGGGGCCTGTGGAAAAAAGAGGTGGGGTGAGGAAGTGGGGCTGACCTGGCCTAAGCTGAAGAGATTGTCTCGCCCATGGGACTCTCACCTTGGCCCCCCAGAAGGGGCAGGGTCAAGCTCCTCATCCTCTGGTCATTTTTGCCTACCCAACATCCACTCTCCCCCTGCAAACAGCACCCCAATTTCACCTGGGGCTCTCCATTCTCAGTCCATGGGCTCCAGGGTGGGCCCACGACCCAGGCTGGCCCAGGAAGGCACCACTGGCCTTTCCCCAGCACAGCCGTCTGTTGGGCATGTGACCCAGCTGGGCCAGTGAGAGCCTGGAACTTCAGCTGGAACTCTTGAAGAAGCTCTCCTGTCCCTGGGTTGCTAAGTGAGAGTGGCCATCTTCCCTCTGGGTGGGCAAAGCCTGCATGATAATGAAGCCAACCCAGGGGAAAGGGAAACTAAAGACGAAGGGGGCAGATGTCTGATGGAGATTGTTCAAACCTTTAGACACGCTCAAATCAGTAGCGGAGCCAAGGAGTGTTTTTTAAAGCTAATTTGAGTTGGGTTTCTGTTACGTGCAACCCTGAGAGTCTTAACGCATCCACTCTTGGTCCAGTCTTGGAGCCTCACCTGAGAGACGAGAGGCCTCTCTGAGGGTCCATAGGAAGCCTCTGACATAAGTGAAGCCTGCCCAGGCCTTTCTGCTTGGGCCCTGATCTAGAACTGGCCTTACTCAGGGATGGTGCTAGAACTGCGTAGGGCCTGTGGAGCTCTGGCCAGGGGAGGTGAAGCCAAATATTCCAGGAGAGGAGTGCCCTACCCACCTCAGCACCAGCACAGAGATCTGACCCAAGCCCTTTAACTTCCTTGCTAGGCTGTGGCTCTATCAGTTTTCCTTTCTGTAAAGTGGGGTATGAGACAGTTTAACGATGACCACTACATTTTCTGAGTACCTTCTGTATGCCAATGTCCTTAAGTGATTTACATACATCCATTCACTTATTCCTCACCATTCCTAAAGAAACAGGTATCATTACTCTCACTTTACTCACGAGGAAACAGGCTTATGGGGGCAAGTGGTTCCTCCCAGCTAGTAAAAGGCAGTGTGGGATTTAAACCCAGAGCCGCTGGATGCCAAAGTGGGCTGTACCTCCTTCCTCCCTGTCTCATTGGCCGGTCCTTACCTTTCTCCGCCTCTAGGCGAGGGCGGGGCTTGGCTGGGCTCCCTCCGTCCAGCGTCCAGGCCTCTCTGTGCCCGTGCCCTGCCAGCCACCCCTGCCGCCCTCCCTTGAAGAAGAGGTGCATCAGTGTCTTGGAGCGCTGCAGGGCCCCCTTTTCCCCGGAGGACCCCAACTTCTCCTTCTTCCGCTGCTTCTTCTCCTCTGCTGACATGAGGGAGAACCCGGGGGGTTAGAGCAGTGGGCAGAGGGAAGGCCGAGGGGCAGGGGTGTGAGGAGGGCCAGAGAGGAGGGCCAGTAAGGGGCAGATAGGACCTCCAGCCTTGTGGGGAGGTGGGGGTGGAGATAGGTGGGCTTCTTCCTTCGACTTTCCACCTCTCCCCCACCCACAGCTCCAGCTCGGTGAAGACCCTCCAAGAGGGCCGGGGTGTGTGTGTCTGTGTGTGTGTAGGGTGGTGGGGATGGATTAGGGCTGGTGTGGGGCCCAAAGCCGACAGGAGCTGGGACTGGATCTGAGGGTAGGTTTGGGGCCCAGGGCCAGTTTAAAATGGGGCCCAGAGCAGCGTCTGAGTGCATTATGGGGCTGGAACGGAGGCCGAGTGAAGGCCTAGAGCCAAGGGAGGTTTGGGGTCCAGGACTGGGTGTGAGGCAGGTGTTGGACCGGGAGCTTTGGAGAGAACATCGGCCGCCCCTTCCCTACATACCCCACAAGGTCAGGTGGCTCTGGGACCTCGTGATGGGGGGCCGGGGTCGGCTCAGGGCCAGCAGCAGAGCAGTCTTAGGGGACTCGGAGAGCACAGAATCCAGGCGGCGGGCAGGCCGGGGGCCGTCGGAGCGGATGGCTGTGTCCCTGAGAATGACGGTGGGCCTCACGCTGCACCAGGTCTCCACGCGGCCACCCACGTCCGGCTCCGTCTGCATGGCTGTGTCCGCCCGCCCCCAGCCTGGGCCCTGACTGCACGGCTCCTCAGGCCCCAGGCCGACATCCAGGCACTGGGAGGGCAGGGAGCCCTCGGCCGAGCTGCAGGGGGCGCTGGAGGCATAGGAGGAGCCGCTCGAGCTGCTCTCCGAGGCGGGGGACAGCTGCCGCAGTGCCCCGTTGCTCACTGCAGGCAGTGGGGAAGGCAGGGCCATCTCAGGGGAAGGCCACTGGCTTCAGGGCCCTGCCAGGGTCGCACACCGCCTTGGGTGTGGGGGTGGGTGAGTGTCAGCTAGCAGCCAAGGCTGGAAGCGTGGGGCTCTGGGGAACCAGCTGCTCAGCAGTCCTGCCACTGATTTGTTGAGAGACCTTAGGCAGGTCCCTTCTCCTCCATTCACCGCCCCGCCTCCCGACCCCGGGACTCCAGAGCCAAGGGGAGCTGGGAACTGAACCCGCAGCTTCTCAGAGGGGAAATTGCTCTGGGCGCTGGGGAAGTCCCAAGCAGGTGTTGCTCCTCCTGCCCCATTATTCCTCAGAGGCTCCCACGCACCCTCGGGCCTCAGCCCTTTCCCTCCAAAGCAGGGGCCTGAGCCACTTACATCGGTCCAGCCAGCAGTACTCAGAAACCATCTCTTTGTAGGCAGGGTACCGGCCAGTCTCCTGGGAAGAGCGTGGCGGACACGGGAGGCCAGGGGGGGGGCGTAGGTGAGAAGGGGGAGGGACGGGACAGGAGTAAACTTTTCAACCCCATCTCTCTCCTCCAAGTTCATCACGCTCGAGACAAAGGGGCCGCTTTATATCGGAACTTGCCAAATTCCTCTACACCTTGGGGCCTTGCACTTGCTGCTCCTTCTGTCTGGTTTCTCGTCCTTCCACTCACCTCCTGGCTAGCTCCTTCTCCCTCTTCAGGTGTCACCTCCCCGGGGAGACCTGCCCCGACCCCCGGGGCTAAAAGGGCCTTCCTAAATTACCCCTCCCAACTCTCTGTTAATTTCCTTATGGCGTTTGTCAGTCAGCACGCATCCTGTTTGTCTGTCTCCCCCCCCCGCCCCCCCCAGAGCAGACACCTCATCTGTCTTGTAGCCCCAGCACCCGGCATAGGCACTGCCACGTAGGACATACTCAAAAATGTTGAATGAATGAACGAGGGGCAGAGTGGGAGAGAGGAGGGGTGTTCGGGGTCATGCGAGAGGAAGGAAAGGGAGAAACGGGATGGGGGGGATTATGGGATGGGAAATCAAGGGGGCAGAAGCGGGGGAATGGCGGAGGAGGCCCTGAAGGACGAGGGGGGTGAAGGCTTGGGAAGGGAGGAGAGCGGAGCCAGGGCCGGGAGTGGGTCCTCGCGGAGAGCGAGCGAGCCGTCACCTCCCCTGCAGCCAGAGTGAGAAGGACCTGATCCTCAGGCAAGTGTGAGACCCACATGAATCAGGAATGCAGGTGCCTCCCCTGAAATCCGATCTCCGGCCTCAGCCCAGCTGCCCTTGCCCTGTGCCCAGGTCCTGGCCTCTCCGGCCTCAGCCCAGCTGCCCTTGCCCTGTGCCCAGGTCCTGCCCAAGGCCGCAGCTCCCGCCCCACCCTCGGGGCGGGACATTTGCTCCTTTCAGCCCTGGACCTCCGTCACTCATCCGAAGGGGCACTGCCCTGGGTGTCTGGGCAGCAGGACTGGAAGCAGGCCCTACTACTAGCCAGCCGAGGAAGTGACCGTGGTTCCTGAGTGACTCTGCCTCGCTCAGCCTCAGTTTTTTCTTCTGTGAACTAGGGATGAGCACAATGCCTGCCCTCTCAAATGGCTGTGGAAAAGTTATAAGTTGTAGGGCAATGGGCATTAAACTCTAGAGAGGTCTGGGAAGTTCCTCCTATAGTCTGGCCTCTCCCTGACACCCACAGTCCTGCCCACCTTGATAGTCAACATGATGTGCGTTTGGCCCTTCAGCACCTCCACAGCCTGGCTGTGGCTGATGTCGTCGAACCTGACACCGTTGGCCGCCAGGACCTGGTCCCCCACCTTGATGCCGTTCTCTTCAGCCAGCCCACCATGATCCACTCTGGGGTCAGACAGGAGGCAGTCTGAGAGGCCACCTGGCCTGCCCTCCCTCACCCTAGACCAGACTCTTCCCTCGGATACAGGGATGCCCCAGCCAAACTCCTTGACCCTCCTCCTGGAGCCCCCATCCCTCTCCAGACCCCACCCCTGACCTAGGCCCTCCTTTGGACATGTAGTTGGCTGAGCCTCACTTGCCGACCCATCCCCAGTGCACGCCCGGCCCCAGCCCTCACTTGGACACATAGATGCCCAGGCCAAACTCCTTGCCCCCGCGGATGTTGAAGCCCAGACAGAAGTCGTCTGACGTGGTGTACAGGTGGACGATGCGCCTCACCCCGTCCTCCGAGCCGCTGTCGGATGGCGTCGAGCTACACTTCTCCACTACCAGCCGCCGATTCACCACATCCACCCTGGGACAACAGCAAGGGGCCGTCAGTCTGGGCCCCGCCGCCCCGTCCACTACCACCCAGCCCCTTTCCTCCCAGCATCTCGGACAACTGCACAGGTAAGGGGAGGTTGCCTTGGGGGGCTCCCCAGTTCCTGAGACCTTCTTTGGAATGTAGACTTCATCAAATTTGGGAAACCACCCCAATCTCCTCTTTTTATGGAGCGGCTCCATTGGGCCAGGACCCATTTTGAATCCCCACAGGAACCCTGAGGGAGAGGTGCTGTTACTATGCCCAGGCTCCCAGGAGCAGCATCTTTGGGGACAGGGCCGCCGGCGTCTGGGATAGAGTTGGGAGGAGAGCTGGGAGAGAGACATGGCCTTTTCTCATTTCAATGTCAGGCCTTAGGATTGCTGTGCTTCCAGCGCCAAGGGGACGGAGAGAACAGAAGCCATACGTAGCTGAGTCTCATGCAGAACCCTGTGCCCTCAGCGTCTCCTGCCATGGGCTAGAAGGGGTAGATGGGGGAGTAGATGGGGTGGGGCAAGGTCAGGGCTGGGACCAGGCGTTCTCACCACGTGGTCTTCTCCTTGGAGAATTTGATGCCCGGCACGCGGCCCATGCGCCTCACCATCATGTGCAGGCAGCTGCTGCCCGTCAGCACTTTCACGGCACTGCCCATGGTGGTGCTCTCCAGGCTCAGCCCATTCGCCTCCGTGATCTTGTCCCCCACGCACAGGCCAGCCCGCTCTGCACCGGGGGAGGGGGGCGGCTGCCATGGGCCCCTTGGGACAAGTCCCCCGGGGCAAAGCTAAGCCTTCCCCACTACACAAGGCCCCCTGGGGTAAAACTTCTTCCACGAGATTGGGGATCCCCAGGTGAGGTCTGGGTATTCCTTATTAGACTAGGGACTTGTCCATGAGCCCACTCCACCCTGGGAGGGGGCCTCATTTCCCCATTGGATCAGGCCCTCCAAAGCTGAGGACCCTGGCCTGCCATCGTTGATAATAGGCCTCCAGAGCCCCACCAAGGTGGGGGCTCATCTCCTAAGACAGCACCCACTCCTGGGGGCCCTGCTCACCTGCACTGCTCCCCTCCTCCACCTTGCTGACGAAGATGCCCAGGCCATGCTCAGAGCCGCCCCGCACACTGAAACCCAGTCTCCCTGCTGGGCTCTTCTCCACCCGGACAGCATGGATGATGTCGCTTTCATCACTGTTGGCTGTGTGGTGGTGGTGGTGGGGAGGGACACAGGCATGACTCCCATGTCCATTCTGGGCACAGAAGGCCCCTGGGTTTCCCAGTTTGGGTTAGGTTGCTCGGCACATATACCTAAGGCCTTGTGGCCTAAGGGCAGCTGATTTCTGAGTTCCCTGTTGGGGATTTTGAGAGTATGGGTCAGCAAGAGAGTATGGGAACAGGCAGGACAGGACTCCATATTAGAAGATGTTGTTCTCCTTCCCTTATTATATAGGTGTGTGTGTGTGTGTGTGTGTGTGTGTGCCCATGCACGTGTGTGTTTCTAATACTTACTAAGCTTCTCATGCCCACAGGCCTGGGATAGGACAAATTCCTAAAAACCCTGCCACTCTGAGGGTCAGATGGATAGAAAATAGGTTCAAGATCCCATTCTATAGGGCAGAGTTGAGCAAGTTTGGGCTCTTCAGCTTGAGCAGAAAGGAGTATGCTCGCTCTATCTTCAGTCAAAGAGCTATTCTGTGAAAGGCATTAGATGTTCTTGTCTGTGTAACCCAGAGGGCAGAACCAAGCCCACATAGTGGAGTTAGATGGAGGCCAATTTAGTAAGGAAAAACTTTCTAAAACCTTCAGCCGTCGGACAATGGAATGAGGTTTCCGGGAGAGATAGTGAGTTCCCCATCTTTGGTGGCATACAAGCTGGCACTTGATAAATCCCTGTCTGGGATATTGTGGAAGGATCTCTGAGGCCCCTTCTATCTCTTAGACTCTGTGATTCTGGAGGTAAGGGCTCTAGGAGCTACTTGACTATATGAGGAGAGAAAACCCAAAACACCACTCTGCTACAGTATATGCCCAGAGCCCAGAGTGGTCCTCTCCATCAGTGCTGGGGAAAGTCAGAGAAGCAGGGTCCCTAGGAGCTGCAGCTGATAGGGAAGGTGTTTGGGAGGACAAGATGGGTGGAATTTCAATGGGTGGAGCAGAAAGGAAGGGCACTGATGAGGAAGGGGAGGGAGTGAGCAAGGCTCTGAGATGGATCCTTGAGAAGGCCTTTGGTTAGAAAAGTTAAGAAGACTGGAGAGGGAAGCTGGATCCCAGGTGAGAAGGTGAGATTTCTTCTTGGACAAGGCTTACTCCAGAGATATTTGAGAGGGAGAAATCTCTCTCTCTCTCTCTCTCTCACACACACACACACACACACACACACTTCTGTTTGATCTAAGAGAAATCAGGTTACAGTGCATGACCAGAGCAGCTCGGGAAGAAATCTCCAAGGGCAGCCTGTGAGTAGGGATGGAGCAGGACAGAGTTGTGGGACATCCTGAGGCTTCCTGGCTGATTCTGTCTGTACACACCTCAACCCAGCCAACGAGTCTGTTGCTCTCCTGTCCCCCAAGCCTCTTTCTTCTCAGTCCTTCCCTGGGGCCTTCCTAAGGGCCCTGGGCCAGGGAGATGCCGATCTGGGGTTTTGAGCATAGGAGCTTGGGGCCTCTGAGGATGGAAACTTTTCTACCTCTACTGCCCTACCCCGGGCCACCAACCTCCCCCTCCAGGAGCTCACAGCCTCCTCACTGTCTCTCCACTTCCATTCTTGCCTCCTTTAGGCCATTCTTTACACAGTGGCCAGAGTCAGCTTTTACAGTAGATCATGCCTGCTTATTAAAAACTTCAGTGCCTGCTCCTTCTTCTAGAAGGAACTCCACAGTCCCCTATGCCCAGTAAGACCCTCCGTGGGCTTTCCTCTGCCCACCTCTCTCCCTTCACCACTCACCGCCATCCCAGCCTCACTGAGCTTTGGCCACACTGACCTCTCTCCTTTTCCTCTCACAGGCTAATCATTTCAGTGTTCCCTCAATCTGTGATACTCTTGCCCAGACCTTCATAAAGCCAGCTCCCAATCTGCAGCCCCTCCTGGCTCAGACACCACTTTCTCTGAGAAGCCTTCCTGGACTACCCTCCCTGAAGTCCCTTCCCTCTTCCCAGGTGGCCTCTATTAGAGTGGTTCTCAAAGTGTGTCCCCCAGACCACTCGTGCAGCAACACTCAGGAACTTATTAAAAATGTATATTCTTGGGGCGCCTGGGTGGCTCAGTTGGTTAAGCAACCGACTCTTGATTTCGGCTCAGGTCATGATCTTGGGGTCCTGGGATGGAGTCCTGCAGCAGGCTCTGAGCTCAGCATGGGGTCTGCTTGTCCCTCTCCCTCTGCTCCTCCCCCTGCTCTCTCTCAAATAAATAAATCTTTTTTGAAAAAAGTGTATTCTTGGGGCACCTGGCTGGCTCAGTCGGTAGAGCATATGGCTCTTGATCTCAGGGTTGTGAGTTTGAGCCCCACATTGGGTGTAGAGATTACTCAAAAATAAAATCTTTAAAAAAAAAAAAGTCTATAAAAAAATGTTATTCTTGGGCTTCGCTGCAGATGCCCTGAATCAGAAGCTCTGGGTGTGGGACTCAGCAGCTTGTCTTTTCACAAGCCCCCCCTCCGCCGCCAGGCAATTCTGTTGTCTTCCCACGTGTGCAAACCACTACTCTATCGTACCATCCAAATTAGTACCTCCAGGATTCTTACCATCCTTTCTCATTATTGGCTTACTCACATATTATTTATTGTCTGTCTCCTTTAGCTAGATTGGAAGTTCAGTCATGGTAGGGACTTTGTAATCCTTTTCTGCCAATATATCTCCAGTATGTCGCACAGCACGTGATATCTGGCAAGGATTTTTTGAATAAGTAAAAGAATAAATGGATGAAGGAGAGTGAGGAGGAAGGTCTGGTTTGGATAAGAGAATGCATTTTCTCTGGGACCAGCTGAGTTTCAGGAGCTGGTGGGAAGTCATGGGGGTGATGTGGGTCCCAGTTTCTCCCTCCCCACTGGGTCCCCCTTATCAGTTCCTTTAGGCCTCTGGAATGGTCTACATAGTAACAAGGGGGAGAGGTTCCAGGATGCGGCAAGTGGGGAGATGTTTGTGCTCAGGCAGAGGGGAAGATTCTGGGCTCAGAGGCTCCCAGCCCAGACAGGGCAGAGGCCAGCTGGTGGAAGCCATGCCCCGGGCCTCCCCTTGCTAGGAGATGCTGCTCCCCTGGCTGCACTACGGCTCTAGGGCGAAGCAGCGGGACAGAGCAATCCTGGAACTTCTTCTGCAAGAAGATCTTCAGAGGGAGAGTGTACAGAGCCGTTGCATCATAGCTGGGGCATGGTCTATGTGGCTGTGTGAGGGGGATGTATAAGTTCTTTTAATACAATGGGACCCAAAAGGGCCATGCCCCAGTGCCTTCCCTATCCTCTACCGTGTCTCCTAGCTCCTCTGAGGACTTCTGCTTCATGACCTGAATGACAGCGGTGACTCTCAGCAGTGCCCTGCTGCTCACCCAGCGGGGAGACCCAGCATGGTAGATGATGGGAGTGAGCATGCTGGGCCACTGGTTCAGGAAAGCCTGCTCCCTGAGCAACCCAGCGGCCCGGGGAGGGGACCTGAGATGCCCAGCTGGGTCAGAGGGGAGGAGCAGGGTCTGAAAAGTCCACTCTGGGATCCAGCCAGGGGAGTTCTGCTGGCTGAGAAACAGAATGGGAACTGGAGATATTTATGGCATCTGGCCCACAGAAAGCCCAGCCCCAGGGGGCGCCCACTCCCCCCCGCCCCCCACTGGCACTCAAGGTCCTGCCTTGCTCACTGGCTCTTTGTCGCCTCACACCTGTCACTGCAGCCAAGCTGTCTCCTAATTGCACTCCGCCCCCCCCCACCCCGTGTTCTTGGTTTCCACTTCCAGCCTTGTCTGGGATACCTCCACCCCAGCACCAGCCGTTCTCATTGCTCTGTCTCGAAGCGCTACTACACTGTAAGTTTCTGGACAGTGAAGATTGACTCTCCTTTTTCTCCAGGCCCCCTGCAGGACCTAACCAGGGCTGGTATAGAACAGGTGTGCAATGTAACAGCATTAAACAACTATATAAGATCAGGTAGCCCCCTCCTTCAGGGCCCAGGCCTGGGGCTCCCTTCCTGACCCTCAACGCTCCTTCTTTCCCCCCCTCTTTGGAACATTTGCTACTCTACCTCTTTCCTTTCTTCTGCATCTGAAACTTTTTTTAAAAAAATATTTATTTAGGGGCACCTGGGTGGCTCAGTTGGTTAGGCGACTGCCTTTGGCTCAGGTCATGATCCTGGGGTCCCGGGATCGAGTCCCACAACGGGGTCCCTGCTTGGTGGGGAGTCTGCTTCTCCCTCTGACCCTCCCCCTCTCATGCTCTCTCTTTCACATAAATAAATAAAATCTTTAAAAAATATATTTATTTACTTATTGTAAGTAATCTCTACACCCAGTGTGGGGTTTGGTCTCATGACCTGAGCCAGGCACCCCTGCACCTGAAGGCTTTAATTCTGTCTCCCCAACTGGGCACTGACTCTTCACAGCCCAGCACAGAGCTGGTCACACAACGGGTTGGTTGATGGAGTATATCCTTCTCCATCCTGCTGCCCCCAACGGGCAGGGCATACACAAAGGGAATGGAGAAAGGCAGAGTCCATTGGATGGAGCAGCCAATTGGATACCCTGCCTTGCTTGGCTTGGCGGCTAGCATATCACACACACCTGTCCCTGCCTCCATACTCCTATCTCCCACCTCCGACCTCTCTACAGTCCTGCAACCCTAAAGCATTGGCCCGAACAGGAGGAAAGGGCTGATGAGGAGGAGCTATGGTAAAACAGGGGCCCTCCATGCCCCACAGCCCCAAGACTCCCATCTCTCGAGTGCCTCCTCCCAGCTGGCCCTACCCCCACCCTTAGCGCCAGGCCTAAGCTGGGCCCCGCCCCCACCTTCGATGGGGGAGTTGATGAGGATGACGCGGCCCATGGGTGAGGAGGCTCGGATTCCGCGGGGGGGCCCGTTCAGCAGCCGCTGCTGCTTCTTCAGCAGGTATCGCATTGCGGAGCCCGAGTCGCTGCCCAGGTGGCCGCGGGAGGAGAGGGAGCTCAGAGAGCCCGAGCTGAGTTCTCTGAGGCCCAGTGGGTCGAAGCTCACTGCAAAACCCTGCGCCATCGAGCTACCCTTGCGAAAAGGGCCCCGCGTGCTCCCTGCAGGTCAGCTGAGCAGCAAGAGCAGTAAGCAGTAAGCCCTACAAGTCCAGAAGGAACCTGCTAGCCCTTGCGAAAAGGGCCCCGCGTGCTCGGGGCTCCATGAGCCTTCTGTGCGGAACTGGGGTCTCAGTGACTGGGAGCCCCCACCTCTGCAGATTCTCAGGAGTGTGCGCTCCAGGCCTGTGGATGGAGAGCAGGGATTGGGACAAGGGTGTAAATGCTGCCCTGCTGCCCCCCAGAACTTCCACCCCCGCCCTGATTTGAAATCCTGTCCTCCCCTGCCTTAGGCCCCTCACCTCTCCCACCCCTGGCCCAGTCCAGGCACCATCGTGGACTTTCGGAATCATTTATACAAGGCCAGTGGGAGCCTCTCATTCACCCTTCATTCCTGCTCTCAGCCGAGTCATCTACCCCAGTGTCCAGTCCTGGGTATAGTGGAGATGGATTCTTGCGGGCCATAGGGCTTCAAATGGTGTAAGAGAAATTGGGGCCAGGACAATTCCCTGCACGCCTCTCCTTGCGAATGTGGGTAGGGGGCTCGGATCTCTAGGGCAGGGCTTCAGAACCTGGGACAGCTGCAGCCAAGGGTTCCAGAGATTCCCCGACCCCCAGAGATCCCCTGGTCCCAGGCTGCTGTCCCCTCCGTCCCCCCTCCTCTCCCGTCTAAAGAGGTTGCCTGAACCTCTCCCAGGCTTTGGCGGAGGACCTGCTGGCTACAGTCCCACACAGCGCGCGCAAAACCCGGAGCCAAGTCCCTCAGAGCAGCTCTTGGACTCCGCACGCAGCATCCCACCCTCGGGTCGGTCCTCTCGGCCCCCACCTCTCGAGCTTGGCTCCCCTCACCTGCTTGCTGGTGCGGCAGCAGCTCCGGCGGGCGCGAGCGCTCGCCGCCGGCGGGGGGAACCTCGCCCACGCTCCGCCCCGGCTGCTGGAAGAGGGCTGGCCTGCGTAGCCGCGGGCCCCCGTTGGCTGCGAGGTCCGCCAGTCACTGCCTCCGTCCCCTCCCTTGAGCGCGCAGGACAGCCGTTTGTTACCTGGGCTGAGGCCGCTGAGTTCTGCCCGCTGCAGTTCGAGTTCTGATGCCCCACCCCGCCCCCCACGAACTTAGGGTTTGGGGCACGCCTCGTCCCCTCCCGCTACCGGTTCAGCGCAGGGGAGCCCAGAACCGCGTCTTCTCCAGGCCGAGCCAGATACTAGGGCACTTGGAATTGCCACCCCTCCGCGTCACCCCCTGAGGCCTTAGTGAGGGAATGCCACCTGGGCAGAGGGGGCGTAAGCATTCGGGGGGCAGGAGCGTGGACTGGTGCCTGGGTGTGAGGCAGGCGTGCTCTCTAAGGTGACTGGGTGAGTTGTGAAGTGTGTGTGTGTGTGTGTGTGTGTGTGTATGTTGCCTTCTTTAACATGCATCCTCCTTCTGTGTCACTAAGTGTCTCTCTGGCCACTCAGTTCTGGAAAGGGCACAGGGTGGAGCCGCTGGTTCCAGGACACTAGGGGGAGGAAGAATGTTTCTGATCCACTTGCTTGATGCAGACAGGCACCTTGAGCCTTCTGCCCCTACACATCGTAGGGCAGGGGCTAGGGCTAAAGTCTGTGGTGCAGGTGTAGGGATTGGGGCCAGAAGGAAACTGGGGACCCAATGAAGCTAGGGATTACAAGAGGCGGGTAAGGTGGGGGCTGGAGGAGGAAAGGGTGGGGACACAGAGGGGGCACAGGCAGGAGGGACACTGTAAAGGGCTGCGAATGCCGAAGTGCTGTGACAAGAGCTTGTGGGAACTGGGGTAGGAGCCCAGGGGGCCAAGGAGGCAGAGGCCACTAACAAGGCGGCCATCTAGTAAACAAGCCGGGCGGTAATCCGAGACCCTCCGGGCGCACCATCGGAGGACGGCCCCTCCACGCAGCCAGCCTTCGTCCTGCGCGCTGCGAGCCTTCGCCCTGGGCACCGAGACCCGTTGCTGCCGAGGCCGGGTGCCCCCGCGAGGCCAGCTAGGGGACTGCGAGCAAAGGGGGCCGCAGCACCCGCGGTTCCTCCGCTCTTTCTCTGGCTGGGGACTGGCCAGAACTGCTTCCCCGAGCCCCGATTGGCTCTGGGAGGCGGCGTTGGGCCAGGGCCCTGGAGCCCGGGCTGGGGGCGTCGCCCCAAATGGCACCCACCGCCCCCAGGCTCTGCCAATCCCTGGGCACGCCCGGCGAACGCGCGGAGGGGGGGCGGGGAGGAGGAGCCCCCGCCCCTCCGGCCGGTCAGCGTCACGCGTGACGTTACGCGTGATGGGTGGGAGGGCAGGAGCCCGCGCGCCGCGCCTGGAGGAAGGCGGGTCTGGGAGCTGCAGAGGCCAGAAGCCCCGGAGCTTGGGAAAGCGTGAGTGCCCGTGGTCCAGGGCGGGGTTCAGCGGTCAGGGGAGTAGGGGATTGAGGGCTAAGAGGGAGGGAAGCCTGCCTTGAAGTGTGCTCCCTGTCCTCTCCGGATTCAGTATATTCGGTTCTAGGGAAGTTCTTGGGGCGCAAGGGGAGCTTGGTTGCGGGGAGAAATGTCAGGGTGGGGCCTTGTGTGGTTACACATTCAGGTGTCTGCAGTTGATGGGTATGGGTTGTGTGTGTATGTGTGAGTGTGCAAGTAATGGTCTTTGTGGGCTAGTGTATGCAGGGCATATCCACTGTTTGTATGTCTGTGTAGGGCGTGTATGTATCCTTGTGTGTGGGTATGTTCCTGTGAGTGTGTGAGAGAGGGGAGGGTGTGTCTTCCAGGGAGGGAGGAAGTATGGTTGGAGAGGATTAGTCATATTGTAGGATTTTGCCTAACACAGCCAGATGGCTGCTTCGGGCTCTCCTCTCCGTCCTGGGTGGAGAGGGCGCTTACTGACTCCTCCTTTCTGGCCGTAGGTGGCCTGGGGAGAGGTGGATGGGTGTCTGTGCCAGCCCTGCCCAGCTGGGGAACAAGGAGGTCCTTGGGCCATTCAGAGTGGGTTGAGGAAAATGCCCCTGAAGAGATTTGTGCATGCCCCTTAGCACGCATGCCTGACAGGCATCAGAGTCCCTTACTTGAGATCTGGCATAGATAAGCCCTGGGGTGGCCAGTGAGCCCTTGCTCTCCTCCAGTCAGAGGCTGGGGCGTGGGATGGCTTATGCCATCTTCCCAAACAGCCTTGGGGGTTTGCAGCTAGGTCTCAAGGCAGCTGGGGCCTAAAGCTGACACGTACATATATAATGCATATAATATGCAATTTTGTGCATAGAGAGCCCGAGAGTAGCTGCCCAGGATTAGCTGCTGCTCTTGCATCAACCACACACAGGTAAATCCTCACTGATGAAAATCTGCACCAGGCCAGAGTGCAAAGGAGATCTGTTTTTCTGGTTCTGTTTTCCCCTGCCCCCTCCTCCCATGGCTCTAGGTCTCTGAGCCAGAACATTGTCTGGAAAACAGCTCCTCCCCCCAACCCTTGCTTCCCTCTCTGGAGTCACCCCGAGCTCTGGAAGGGATCGGTGAGAGGCCCAGAGACAAGGGCAGGGCCACCAGAGGTTCCCCCAGGCAGAACTCTTGGAGCCCCTCCTCAGAGTCCTCAGACTCTCATCTTTGCCCTGCAGAAAATGGGTGAGTTGCCCTTGGATATCAATATTCAGGAACCTCGCTGGGACCAAAGCACTTTCCTGGGCAGAGCCCGGCACTTCTTCACTGTTACTGACCCCCGAAATCTGCTGCTGTCCGGAGCGCAGCTGGAAGCCTCCCGGAACATCGTGCGGAACTACAGGTAGGCCGCTACCCCATCTGCCCCTGTATCCCAGGGCCTCATTCCCTGCCTTGAGTACGGTACCCTTTGCATCTATCTCCCCAAACTTGAAAGTGACCCTGTCCCCACTCCTCAACTCCCTTATTCCCTGGCCTTACGTGTTGGAATCACAGGTAACTATGGCACAGAGTTTTAATCCAGAGAATTTTAGGGTGTTTGGGTTGAGGAGGTGGCATTGATATATGTGGGCAGGGGACTGCTGTCCACTTCACAAACTCTCTAAAGGGGGGTGTCCCGCTGCTAGGCCACCCTCTGCAAGAACAGATGGTCTCAAAGTTGAGCCCAAGGAGGAGAGCATCCCCCTTGTCTCCAGGAGGCAAAGCCCTTGTGATGCCCCTAGCCATTTCAACCCATTGGGCACCATCATTACCCATGACCAAGCTTTGAGGCAGAAACAGAAGGGCGCCCCTCTTTGTGTGGCTACAAGGGAAATAGAAATAGGAACCCGCCTCCTCTTCTGGGAAGATGTGGTTCTCCCCACTGAGACAAGGAGCTCCTTTATTCTTTTTTTTTTTTTAATAATTTTTTATTGTTATGTTAACCACCATACATTACATCATTAGTTTTTGATGCAGTGTTCCATGATTCATTGTTTGTGCATAACCCCCAGTGCTCCACGCAGAACGTGCCCTCTTTAATACCCATCACCAGGCTAACGCATCCCCCCACCCTCCTCCCCTCTGGAACCCTCAGTTTGTTTCTCAGAGTCCATCGTCTCTCATGGTTCGTCTCCCCCTCCGACTTACTCCCGTGGAGCTCCTTTATTCTGAGACTGGGGGCCAAAGTTCCTGGTCCTCTGTCCAGACTTCCCCTGGTCAGGGCTTGCAGGGGCAGATCTGCCGCCTAGAATTACCTGTCTCTTCCCTGCCATTCTCTGCAGGGCTGGCGTGGTGACGCCTGGGCTCACCGAGGACCAGCTGTGGAGGGCCAAGTATGCATACGACTCTGCCTTCCATCCGGACACAGGGGAGAAGGTGGTCCTGATTGGGCGTATGTCAGCGCAGGTGCCCGTGAACATGACCATCACTGGCTGCATGCTCACCTTCTACAGGCACGTCCTATCCCATGCATCCCCTCCCTGAGCACTCTAAGCTAGGGTGTAGCTCGAGGACTAGGTGAGGCCCGCTGGGCAGAAAATAGTGGGTGGGTGCGAGCTTGTATTAGAATCCCCTACACCTCTCAGAACTCAGCCCCGAGGTTCCTCCCAGGCCAGACACAGTGTGTATGGCTGCATAAACGGGGCAAGTAGGGAGGGTCATGCGGGGCTCAGCAGAGCATGTTCTAGGGTCATCAGCTGGGTCCCTCCTGAGGGTTTGGGAATAACCTCTGGGGTTTCCTTATCAGGGTTGGAGGATGAGGGACACCGTAGAGGGGGCAGAAGTAAGCGTCTTTGTTCCCTCAGGAAGACCCCGACGGTGGTGTTCTGGCAGTGGGTGAATCAGTCCTTCAATGCTGTTGTTAACTACTCCAACCGCAGTGGCGATGCTCCCATCTCTGTGGGGTGAGAGCTTGTCCCCAGGGGCCCCCCCCGGGGCCTACCATTGCTCCGTCTCTCGTTTGCTCCTGTTCCCCGAGCGCTGCACAGCCTGCCCTTCCCCCTGCTTTCCTGGCCTGAGGGCACGGTGTCCTCTTGTGTGTGCTATGGGGGCCCCTCTGCTCCTGAAAGGGAGGGATCGGAGCTTCCAGACAAGTCTATGCTGTGGCAGGGAAGGAATTTCTCTGCCTTCCACGCCTCATGTATTGAGGATTTGGCATGTCCCTGAAAGCGAGAGCCATTCATCTCCCACGTGTGTCCCGACTCTTCCACCACAGGCAGCTGGGAACAGCTTACGTGAGTGCCACCACCGGTGCTGTGGCCACAGCCCTGGGGCTCAAATCCCTCACCAAGGTAAATGGCCTCCATTTACCCTTTATTCGGCTCCCCTTTCCCCATCACTCGTCCACATCGTCCTACAGGCTCCCCACCTCCCTCCCCAGAGTTCCTTACCACCCCATGGCCCTTAGGGCCACTAAGTGACATCTTCCCTCCCCCAGCACCTGCCCGCCCTGGTCGGCAGATTTGTGCCCTTTGCAGCTGTGGCAGCCGCCAACTGCATCAACACCCCCCTGATGAGGCAGAGGTGAGTGGCTCCAGCCCCTGGCGCGCGTGCCTGCTGTGCCGCTGTGCGCACTGGCCCGGTCCTCGCCTTCCACAAATGGAAGTTTCTGGGCACAGTCTCAGTCAGACTCGGGGATCCTCTGACACCTGAGGGGACCCCAGGGAACAGCTGCCCGAGAGGGCATTACAGGTGGGGTTTAGGGCCTGTGGTCTGGCCCCCACCCCCTTTCCTTTTCAGGGAACTGCAGGTGGGCATCCCAGTGACTGATGAGGAAAGTCAGAGACTTGGCCACTCGGTGGCTGCGGCCAAGCAGGGAATCTTCCAGGTGGTGATATCGAGAATCTGCATGGCCGTTCCTGCCATGGGTGAGGCAGAGGTGCCTGGGTGGGGCACGGGAGGCTCTCAGAGAATGGGGGGCCATTCTCCAGGGCTTCTGAGCCCTCTGGGGGCTGTGGCTCTGGGGGGAGTGGAAGAGCTGTGAAGGGGGATCCACCCTCCTTAGGATCCCGTCTTTCACTTCACTGCCTCCCTCCTTTTCCGCCCTGCTCTCCCCGCAGCCATTCCCCCCGTGATCATGGACACGCTGGAGAAGAAAGACTTCCTAAAGGTAGGTCACTCTCCCCTTTCCCATCATGGTAGTGGTGGTGGCTGGAAGCAGAGGTGACCAGCCCCTGAGCCCATTTCCAGCTTGGCCTGAGTCTGAGATGTGCCCCCTGTTTGCCCCACCCCTGTGCTGCCCCCACTCCCTTTATTCATTCAGCAAGAAGGAATTGGGCTGGGGTGAAGGAACCCTGAGGGAACAGGAGGAAAAGATAAGGGAAGGAAGGACATGGTTTCTGTTCTGAAGAGAACTGGTGTCACTCCAGAGGCCTCTGACACACACAGGGCTGGACTACCACAGTCACACCTAACATCATATCCATGCTGTCGCCTACCGACAACGGTGAGACACACAGGCTCACACACGCACAAACAGAACAGAGAAGCAAGGCACAGGAGTACAAGCTCATTCGCTGAGTCATTTATTCACGAGTATTTATTGAGCACCAACTGTGCCAGTTGGAGGAACAGAATGGTGGTCCCTGTGGCTAGAGTGAATCGAGAAGGGACAGGTTCATGCATGCCACTGGGCCGTTCATGCATGCCACCCCAGTGGAGGGTTAGAGGAGGCTTCCTGAAGAAAGCAGCTCCCAGAGGAAGTGTGGAACCAATCCTGAGAGGGGGGAATGGGTGATGGGACTCTAAGGAGGGTGTCAGCCAGCAGGCCTGGCCGACTGGAGGGTGGTGATCTGGAAATTCCATCCCTCTTATGGGCTTGGGAGAAAGAAATGGGGCACATACCAGAGGTTCAGAGGCAGGGTTGGAGGGATAGAGCTGTGGTAAGGGGAATGGGGTGGGGGGAGAGGATGAGGGGACACAAGCCATTCCATTGTCTCTGTTTCCCCACAGCGTCGCCCCTGGCTGGGGGCTCCCCTGCAGGTGGGACTGGTGGGCTTCTGGTAAGTGTGCAGAGACTCAGCAAGGGTGGGTGAGTGTCCTCTCCGTGGTGGATGTGGTGGGTATTTATTGATTTTAAGATGTTTATGTACATCATTCATTCATACATTCGGCTGGTAGGGGTCTTGGACACTTGTAGGGCATGCTGTGTGTTCGGGGGTGATCTCCATCCTTGAAGGCCAAGAGTCCAGTTGAAGAGATTCTAGTCTTCGTCTCTGAGAGGAAAGCATGGAAATATACCTTTTGGTATATACAGGAGTTTCATGCACATTTGATTGCTGAATGTGGCACGTCCTGTCGCTGCTCTGGAGGCTCTTTCCTCAGCCAGAGCCTAGTGTCAACATTGGCTTTAATCAATTTCTACCCCTAGGGGCTGTCTCCAGAGATGGGGTGGGGTGCAGGAAGGGAACAACCCTGGGTCAAAATTTTACAAACCTTTCCAACGCTCTTCTCCCCAGCCTGGTATTTGCCACCCCGTTGTGCTGTGCCCTGTTCCCCCAGAGAAGGTAAGTGCTGCCCCCGGGCTGGCCTGGAGGCTCTGGGTGGGTCTCCACATCTCTGGAACCAGCTGACCTTAGGGTCCTTCAGTGTGTTCCAGGAGGAGGCCTGGCCTGCCAGGCACTAAGCTTATTCTGGCGCAGGGAAATGATAGTGAGCTGGGCCTTCTGGCCATCGAAGGAGATTCTTCAGCCTGGGAGGAGGAAGGGTGGTGATCCCTTAGCCTGACGCAGGTTGGGTTCAGGGCATACTCAGCCCGCCTGTGCTGTTCTGTTGCAGCTCCTTACACGTGAGCAGGCTGGAGCCAGAGCTGAGAGCTCGGATCCATGAGCAAAACCCTGACATCGAAGTGGTTTACTACAATAAGGGGCTTTGAGGGAGGGTCGGCCCCTGGCCCCCTCCCTCACCTCCTTGGGCTGCTGCTTTAGTGGAGCCTTCCCTCCCCTTACCTTGCCCATCTGCCTGGTGCTGGGTGGGGGCGCAGCCAGTGAGACCAGCAATCCCATTAGGCTGAGAGAGGTGCCCCCATTCAGCCTTTTTCTCTCCTCTCTGGTTTCAAAGAGCAGGGTCACATAATCCCTTTCTGCTGGGCTTCTCTGTCTACGTGTATACATAACAATACTGTGCGTAAGTGTGTGTGTGTACGTGCTGCTGTCCTGGAAACTAGGAACAGACACGCTGTCCTAGGGTGTCCTGATATCTGGCTTCTCTCGGCATCTTGCCACCTGTCAGCCAGCCAGGCTACAGGACTTCCCTGCCCAACAGTTCTACCAGCCAAGTCATTTCTAGCAGCACCTCGCCCCTTCTGGACGCACGAGGAACCCCGGGATCTCAGCACAGAGACGGAGGGACACTAGCAGGCCAAACTGGGCCGACTCCTTCAGATTTCTGGTTCCTAGCTCCCAAAGCTGACCCGGGAGCTGGGCTGGCAGAGGAAGACATATCAGGATAAGGGAAACAGGGTGGTTTAGGCATCCCCCACATCCTGAAATAGAGAAGTTCGTCTTCTCTCCTTTATGAGAACAAAGGGGCACCAGGATCCTGTAGCACTCCCGCCATCTTCCCGTCTCCCCGTACTGCAGGGTGGGCACCCTTATGTACAATCTTCGGAGTTCTTGGTCTGCTCTGACATTGTAACCTCAAACCTACACCTAGAGTCCCAACTCCCTCCCCACACCACAAAGCCATGAAGGCAGAGCAAGCACACCCCTTTAAGAGCTCCCACTGCCCCCTCTTACAGAGGGACACCGCTGTGGGAATGGTGCTTAACCTCCACAGGTATCTGAGTGGATGTAACTCGGACACCCTCAAGGGCAACTAGGCCCTGAGTGTACAACCTTAAGACAGGACATTTTGTGTTCTGTTGGCTCTTGTTAGACATTCAGCAGAACCCCGACCTTAGGTCCTCTTTTGTGAGGCTTAGTCCTGCTCCTACCCCTACTCCTACCCCCACCTCCCAAGAGGAAGAAGGGCCTGGGCATCCATAGGTGGTCCAAAGGGGAGGTAGGCTTGGGAATGGAATATATGGTGGTACACTCATAGGATACAGGGCTGGACCTTGACTCCAACTCCCATGAGCTCTGGCCGAAGCAGTGGGTGGTATAGATGAAGGCCCCAGCGGGATCCTCTAAGAGCACTTGCCTGCTTCCCCAGCTTTCTGCCATCAGTGACTAAAACTATGATGCCATTGTTACTCAATAAACTGAAAACTTGTCTACTTCTTTTTTTTTTTTTAAAGATTTTTATTTATTTATTTGAGAGAGAGAATGAGAGAGAGAGCGCACATGAGAGGGGGGAGGGTCAGAGGAAGAAGCAGACTCCCTGCCGAGCAGGGAGCCCGATGCGGGACTCGATCCCGGGACTCCAGGATCATGACCTGAGCCGAAGGCAGTCGCTTAACCAACTGAGCCACCCAGGCGCCCAAAACTTGTCTACTTCTTGATCTTCACTTGATTCCATGTCCTGAGGGTCCAGGAAGAGCCAGCCTCCTGCCTACCCTTTGCCTTCCCTCCCCACAAAATGTAGGTCTTAAGTCTCTTCCCTCCCCTTCTGTAGGGAACTCCAGCTCCCAGCAGAGGGCGCTGTGAGATTAGAAAATCAGTCCGTCAGCGTCTTGAGTACTAACTAACCTAGAGGGGATGTAGATGCCTTCTATTCCCTTTGCAGATAGAGTCCTGGCTTCATTTCCTTCTTTGCTAGGAAGGCTGATCACACACCTGCATACCAACGCAGGCTCTGGGCTCAGGCATTTGGCATGGGTTGGTAGCTTCTGGTTCCCAGGGCAGCCTCTGGAGAGAGGAAGGCTAGAGGGCTAAGGACTGTCCAGCTCCATCAGAGAGAATTTAGGGCACCAGCACACCCTCCATACCCCTCCACGCCCCCATCAATGCAACACCGGAACAAGCCTGGCACAGACAATTTGCTAGTTAACACCCCTTCCCCCCCATCCCAGGGCCCTCCACCCTCCACTCCCTCTTTACGTAAACCCCCCTTTTTTTCCTGGGAAAAATGAAGCCAAAAGTTCACGTCTATGAACAGATAATGAGAGCTACTATTTAACAGCTTACAGCTGTGTCTCTTACCCTAAGTCTTGGCTTTGGAAGATTCGAAAAAATAACCATGAATGAATCTACAATAAAATCCATTGCCTACTCCTGACAGGGCATACCCCTCATCTCCCCTTTTTCAGCTCAAAGCTCTCACACTAGGTGGTGGGGAGAAATTTTTAGGGCCGCGTGGTCCCACAACAGCCGAAGTGAACCTGGTAGCTTGGCCTGGGCTCGCTCACGCCTCTTGGGCAGTAGAAGTTTACTTGTATGGGCGGTGGGGGTGACACCAGCCACTGCTCATTGAGCCTTATGTGTGGTGCCAGGCTTAATAAAAAGCCAAGTGCTTTAAGCCCATTATCTCTTATGATCTTCACAACCCACTGTGGGGCCAGACATGTTATGTCCACTCTGAGCAAAAACACGGGCCTTGCCCGCAGCTACACAACTAGGGAGCGGTGGAACCAGGATTCAAGCAGAGCCGTGTGACTCTGAAGCCACGGTATTAAGCTTCTTCCAGCCCTGCCAGCCCCCAGCCAAACTTGAAGTAGTTCTCCTGGTCCTGTTGACATTCTAGGGCATCTCCTCCCTGGGCCCAGTTTGTTTACAGGCCAGCAAAACTGAGGCCCACAAGTGTACTCAGACCTTTTACTAAAGCCACTGAGGAGTTTCCAAGCTTGAGCGTTTTAAAGCTGAAGGAGCATGAGCAAAGATTCCTATTCTTTAAGATTTTATTTGAGAGAGAGAGAGAGAGCGCGCATAGGCGTGATGGGGGGTAGTGGGCAGAGGGAGAAGCAGACTTCCCGCTGAACAGGGGACTTGGAGCCGTACGCGGGGCTGGATCCCAGGACCCTGAGATCATGACCTGAGCTGAAGGCAGCCGATGCTTAACCGACTGAGCCACCCAGGCGCCCCATCCTATTCTTGATTAAATATGCGGCAACATTTAGAGGGGGCCCCTAGCTGGCTCAGTCAATACAGCATGCAACTCCTGGTCTTGGGGTCATGAATTCAAGACCCACGTTGGGCCTAGAGCTTACTTTAAAAAAAATTTTTTTAAGTATGAGGTGACATTTAGAAAACACGTTTCAATTCCATCCCGTTCTGCCAGTCTTGAGTGGTGCCTCCCACCAAGCCCACGGGGCTTGGTCAGCTGGGTCAGCTCTTCAAGCCTCTTTCTGCGGGTACAGCTTTCGTCTTTGGTAATTCCCTTGAAAAGGGGCCTTGAACTTTTACTGGAAAATCCATATAAAATAAACCTACTTGGGGAGTGAGGTGCAGGAATCTCTGTTAGACAAAATCACTAAGAACATTTTATAACACATTTATTTGTGCTCTGCAGATATCACTAAACCATATCAGAGAGACGACTGGCCAAGGCACCAATGGGGCCAGTTAGGAAGGAATGCTTTCCTGTCATCTTTCCTTCCTAGCTCTACCACAGCTTCTCAAAGCAAAAGTTAGCTTTAGGCTCACTTCACAGGCTCTCTAGGGGCAAATCCTAGCCAGGTACCTTTTCCAGACTGCCTCCACATACTTGGACTTTTTCCTCAGAAGTCAGCACTTGGGCAGAGGTAGCACTTTTCTCGCTGGAAAGTAATCTCCCCCATTCTTGGGCCTCCCTTCCTCCTCTTCCTCCTCAGACTCTGGGAACCTTCTTTGGGAGCCTACATCTGCATCCTTGGTCTTCCTCCCCAGTCTTCTTCCCTTGGCCCGGCCTCATCTGCTCCAGAGCTCCCACCTTGCCCATTATGAAGACCACAACCCTCCCTCTCTCCCAGCCCATGTTCTAAGGAGAAAAAGGGCTCCCGTCTGGCAGGGCCTGGCCAGAGGAAGGAGGCCAAGTGAGTATATCCTGTTCTTCTCTAGGGTCCCCTGCTCTTTTCTAGGGTCACTGAGGCCGGCATCTTAGGGGCAGTGGTGAGGGCCAGTTTCAGCTCTGGCCCTGTGGGCGCATGCCAAAACTAGGCTAGTCCCTGGTCCCCTACGAGTCACAGACAAGCCCCATTTCCTCCGTCAAGCTCTCGTCTCAACCCAGCCCCGCCCTGGGGGGGTTGCCTGTCAGTCATAGGTAGGCCACGCCCCGCTGGGGGGGCAAAGCCAGTCTGGCGCAGAGCCCCCCCCCCCCCCCCCCCCCGGCTCTGGCCCTTGTCAGTTAAAGTCAGGCTCGGCCCCACCTCCTTTCCGTTTCCCAGGCAACGGCTTTAATCGCCGCTGGCCCGAAATGCAATACGTCTTCCCTGTCTGAGCGAGGAACTCAGATCCGCTTTCCGGGTGACCTCGGTCCCGGACCCTTAAATCCGCCAAATCGCCTCCCTCCTTTCCTGTTTCGAAGCCCACGGGCGCCCGAGCGCCCGCCCTTTGACTTCCTGCCCGGAAATCCGCGAGGTTTTCGAGGAATCGCGCGAGGCCTCTCCTTAGGTCCCAAGCCCGGGTTTTTCCGCGGTCTACGAGGCTATCGGCCCTGCCTCTTGCACTTGCCTCCCACAGTTCGGGAAACGTTTATTGAACTCTGCTAAGAGTGGCTCTGTGCCCGGCGCTGGGTAGAAATGTCTTGTTCGGTGAACCGAGGCCCTTCCCATCTGCAGGGTCATAGCCTGTGTGCAGCAGTCATTAAGGTGGCTCTCCCTCCGTCCCCTCCACGTCAGTCTCCCTGCCTGTTACAGCGATCTCGGCCCGATGCTGCTGCATTCTTTTGCTCGGAATTGTGGAGGGATCTTGACCCGGTTGCATCATTCCCTCCAAGGGAGCTTCCTGGGCAGCGCCCTCCCCTCTTCCTAAATATACACACCTTTTTCCTCCGGGGCAGTCGTCCCAACTCAGGCTGCCAGAGAGACAACAGCAGGCCCCAGCTTTGCGTCCCAGCCTCCTCCAGCTTCTCCTTCCTTTCTCCAATCTTAGACCAGCAAGGTTTTTGCAACTGAATAACGACCAGGGGAATAGAGGAGGGAGGAACCCCGCATAGCTTGGGCCACAAACACAACCCCTTCCTCCTCCCACCCCATACATCCAATAGGAGAGTAACCAGCTCCTGTTAACAAGCCACAAGCAGTTCCTCCAAGGTAGGGTGTTTGCTTATGGAACAAGAGTTTGCTG